TCTTCATCCCTTCTCGCTGGACATGGTAGAAATAGAGATGATGTAGGACAGCCAGGCCAATGGTTGACAGGGAGATGCCTGCAGCATAGCTGTAGGCCTCGTAGACTGCAGCTGTGTTGGTGGGGTCGTAACTCTCAAAGTATTCAATTATCTTCCCAAGTAGCACTGGCTGAATGACTTTGATAACTTCCTGATAGACAATGGGATGTAAAACAAATAGGTTCATGTGCTGCACTTGAACAAAACTTAATTCTTAAAACAGCATTATTCTCGGTAGACATTTAGTTTCACTGTGAGGCTGCACTGTACCTCTATAAAGATGTATATTCCAATGAGAGAGTATGATCTCCAATAGCACTGAACAAGAACTTTGCTAAGTTTGGGTTTGCGCAGCTCTTTTGCAGCCTGTTGAACCTCTCTGTTCCAGTACCTTTGAAAAGTGAAAAGAAAAACAATGGTTACCCAGTCAGTAATCTCTAAATAACTAATGATACTCACAATAAGGCACTGTTGCACTACTGAATGTCTTAAAAGAAATCACAAGAAACAATTCCATATATTTTAAGCAAAATAAACCAATATTATGATATCTTGCTTGTGGAGACAATAACTAAGTACAGAGATTTGAGGGTGTGGCTGTCTAAACGTACGCTTCTACACGATCATTTACTAAGTTACTGTTGTCAATTATTTGTAGCACGGCAGCATAATAACAAAATAGTTACGAGACTCTAAACTTTAATTTTTTTTTTCATTCAGTTTTTTTTGTTTTAATGTATTTTTTTGGCCTTTTATTGCCTTTATTGATAGTGACAGCTGAAAATAGACAGGAGAGGGGGGTAGAGAGTTGGGATGACACGCAACAAAGGGCACCCAACTTTCTTCTTTTTGCTCATTAAACTGAATGTTGAGTAGTTAGGAATTATAAAGAAATATAATTGTATTGCTCAGCTCTCTCTCTTCACAGCCACAGTTTAACACAAACCTCACATTACTGTAGCTGCAGTATCTAACTGTTTGGGTCGTCATCCATCATAAGCCTTAGCTGTGAACTACTTTCACCATACTCTTCTATTTTGGGCATCGATTATGTCTCAACTCGGTGGTACAGGGGCCCACTTCTTCCTGGAACAGAACCCTGGCATCAGACGAAGGAGCCGCTGACATTTTGACCAGCTGTAAACTGCTCCAGTATGTTATACCAATTATTATTCAGTGAGGCCAAAAGAAAGTATCTTCTGCCAGAAGCAGAGATTCCCATAATGTCACTAAACTGGCCACCCTACCTGTGCTTTCATATATCCTGTCTATGAACATCATAAAGTGGGACTAAGGTATATTTAACACAGTGAATACATTTTGCCTTTACGTCAAGCAAGATGACTGAGCTCTCATGTGGCAGCCCCTACTAGAGGTGGTGGGATTAGTGTGAGGGGAGGAGCCTGTTCTCACGAGTACTGTCTATATATAGGTGGGCTCACCTCCAAGCTCAAAGTCAACTCTGACACCAAACTCCGTCAAAGCGGGTGGTCTGTGGCCTATTTAGAATATGTCCAGGCCGAGTGGTGGGGATATCCATGAGCCTCTGGTTGGCTGTTTACACACATGGACTGTCTCCCAGTGGAAATAGGGTGTCATTTCAATATGACTGCTGCTTATTATGAGGATAAAGCTCTGACTGTCTTTATATTGTAGTTTTGAGTACTATGCCTTTGCTTAAGTGGTGGATTGGGTCCTGGAGAATGCCCAAACCTACAATTTACTATTATCTCTCAAGAGGACTTCGATGGGATTGACTATGAACCTTGTGTGTTAGTGGACATCTGTGCTCCTCATGGACTGTCCATAACAATGTACTAACATTAGAATGCGCACAACTGTACATGGTACCAGATCACCTGACGATCAGGTTTGTTTCATATGTCCAGAGGCCACATGTTCTGGACATTTAGCAAGAGGAGAGCTGAAGGGGTCTTAGGGGCGTTCAACCCTGCTGTTCTGATATTTGAAAGGTTGTATCTGTGTAAAATAGTCACAGGTCACTGTGGCGTCTGAGATTCTTTGAATCCTAGCCTTTTAGTTACTTTGGACTTTGGGAGAATCCCTGTAAATAAGCCTCCATCTATACATTATTCGATGTCCATACTGTACCATTGTAGCTCCTCCCCAAGTCTTTCTGATGAATCCTCTGGGAGAACTTTATACATGTCATCTTCCTCCAACTTCCTCTTGTACCCGATTCTGAACAAGGGATTCAGCCAACTGGAGATGAAGCATATAGAGTATGTTCACTAGCTGAAATAAACATTTGAGATGATGTCATAATGAAAACCTTGTTTTGGTATGAAAATTCCCAACAACGGGGACATAAGGTTTTCACCAGAAGACAGCTTTACATTGCTATTATATGGAAGCCGTCCACCTGTATGAGCTGCAGCATTTAACCACCATTGAGAGCACTTGTTTTGACACATAATTTAAATGAAAGGGTCAACTCTTTAGAAATAATCCTTTTATTTTCCCTACTCTATCACACTTTTCAAAACATATATATAATATATAATTTCCCTGTATAAGTTTACTGCTGTTGCATGTTGACTATGTTGAGAAAAGTGCTTTACAAACAAAGTTATTATTATAAAGTATTATTATAATTCTGTGCAAGTAAAAGTTTAAATATCTTCACATGTAACGGAGCACTCTTACAACTACTTCAACAGCCTGTACCCATGCTACCCTGGAATCACTCGATCTGTTGTGATTTAAGGAAGGAATAAACTTATAACCAAAAGAGCCTGAGCTCTCCTACATGTGGGAGCAGCGTGGTTTATGTTTACGCATGGACGGATGCTCAGCAGCCACCTGCAATCACTTTCAGGGGACAGACTGTCTTGAGAGGCCACAAACAGAGAGAGCTCTCCATTCAATTGATGTCAAACACGGCTGTCACTGCGGGCCGGTTTTCTTACCAGAAGAAAATCTTGGAGAGAAGATTAGCTGAAGCCGACGGATTATCCTTCGCCTCCTTTTGCAGAACTTCCATGCCCCCAGACAGTGAAAGCAACCTGAAGACTTTCTCTGCGGGGCTATGTGTGGCGGAAGGATATCGACAAAGACTCAGAGGAGGAAACACTGAGAGAACAGCCGCTGTAAACTCCAATGTCTGTCAATATCACACCTACGGACATTCAGCACAGGATTACTACAGGACGCACAGCCGGTATGGCTGTCAGGTGAGCGGGGCGCTGGGTAACCCCGCCCACCAACTCGGGATTGGCTGACAGAAGTCTCCATCACTTCCCAAACTTCTTTAGGCTTCACACAAAGTAAAAAAGCAACACTGTCCAAATACTTCACATGTCAAAGAATTATAATTAAAATGTATTTAAGTATCAAAAGTAAAAGTGCTAATTCAGAATAGACCCTTATAGTGTTTTATATTATTAAAATATATTCAATGATGTATTTCAAGATAAGGCTGTTTTTTCCTTGTACATTCACTAGTGAGCAGCATTTCAATTTTAGCTGGTCACAATGGAGCTTATTTTAATGTAGCTAAGTTATCATTAATTTGTTATTTAGCCTTTTTTAAATGATAAGTAAAATAAAAATATGTCAGTCTATATGTCAGTATCTACTTGTATCAAGAATTTCCACGAAATAGTCTGTAAGTGTGAGAACCAAAAAGATAGAATAAGGGATCCCCTCCCAAAGAATCAAAAAAAAGGTTTTCATCAGATTTTTTTCCTTTGTTTTCACAAACAAATAACATTTTTAGGGTTCAATTACATGAAGCAGAGTGGAATATAAAGTAGCAGAAACAATTCAAACTGCTGTGGAGTAAACTGTCACTTGGATTAATAGAACATTAACTCTTGCTCTAAATTTTTGCTGAAACCTTTCTGATCTGATTACTGTATATATTTCAAACAGTGCATTTAATCTACAGAAGAATGAACCTGTTTAAACAAATGTAGCCCATACAAGGTGTTTATTTACCTCCTACTTTGTTGTATGGACAAATTTCACATTACGTGCTGTGTACTTATATTTGCTTCAATAACTTTTTGTGGGGGAAAAAAATTATGTTGTTTCTTTTGAAATGCAACCAAACTGCTAGCAGAGTTATCCAGATTTCACCACTGAGTCCTGCATTGTGTGCTGTAAGACATTTTCCACTTGTGAAACAGGGAAAGTAACCATATTCTGTATTTTATACTATGGACTTTTTACTTTATACTATTATATTTGTCTTGATCATTATTACTGCCCCATTTGGATTTGATTGTCTGGCTCTATTTAATTTCAATGCCAGTAAAGGACTTTCCTCAGGGTCTCACCCAGTTAGTTACATGTCACCTGTCATATGGAAACATGTTAATGTTCAACAGATTTCAAGTCACAGAGGAAAATGCATCACATATCTCATTATTTCTCAAAGAAAGAATAAAGTGACACCTACAGCAGAGTTCTTTTTCATAACCTGTCTGTGTGGCTTGCTTTATATTGTATATCTCAAACAAAGTAAAACCTAAAATAATTCTTATTGTAAATCGTGAAAATGACACACACTCCAGCGGATTTAGTTCTAATGCCACCATCTCTTTGCTTCATCCTCTCTAAATGCACCATATTGTTCTTCTTATGTTTTAAACGAAATCTGTCTCTCTTCACACTCTCCTGGGCGAGAACAGTGAACATGAAAAACAACACACATGTTCACATATGAGCTGGCAATCATTAGTCATTCAGTTGCCAAATATTGTGAGCAAAAATAGATGAACCAGTAACTGGACTTTGTCACAATGCTTCTTGTTTTAGGATTACTGATTACTCCTTTATTTTTTTTATGTTAATATGATACTTGACCTTATTTTTAGACCAAAACGTGGAACATTTAAAATACTGCTAGCTAAAATATAATGACTAACTGTCAGCTCATGCTTGCTTCCTTTACTATTTTACTTTTAGGCACCTGTGTCCGTCCCTCGCCACTATATGCAGGAAAGATGTCCTGTCTGTAAATCATCTCAATGAAACACATGTCCACAGTGTAATTTGCCTGCCTGGAGCGATTTTTATTTCTTCTCATTGAATCTGCTAAAAGACTTTATACATTTCTTAAAGCTCCAAATGTCAGGCTTACAGATTGTGGCTTTTCTCAGTGGCCTGGCCGGGCTGGGCGCCACTATTGGTGCCACGGTGTCCAATGAATGGAGGGCCACTAGCCGAGCATCCTCAGTCATCACAGCAACCTGGGTGCTCCAGGGTCTGTGGAACAACTGTGCTGGAAATGCCATAGGAGCTCTGCACTGCAGACCACATCATACTATCCTGAAGCTGGAAGGTAAGATAAAGGGGGTCCAAGTTTCACAGCGAGCGCATACGGTACCTGTATGTTCTCACATGACGCATTAGTCTCTGTTGACAACTTTTGTGGTGAAATACTAAGTAAATAACATTGGAAACACATTTAGTGTGTGAACAACCATAGAATATGCAACTTGTGGCAATATGTATACCATGGAGGGGCTTTATGAAATGTTCCTAATGTGTAACCTAAATATTCTTCACCACAGAAGTAAATGTATCACCTTAGTTTCAAAAGCATGTTTCTGTGATGTACTGAGAGCCATGAAGCGCATATTTTGTGAATTATAACTTCAGGTGTAGCAGATATTGAAAAAGTCTTTCCTATTGTGGCTAACAAGTGGGCACTTTTGTGCAATGTATTTAATACATTAAGTAGTCTTTGAAAATATTTAAGGCTACTGGGAAGTTATGAAAGAAGTCCTTTCAAAGTGACATTATTTTCAAAGACTTTTTTATTATTAAGTATCTCTCAAAGAAGATTTAGTCTCACAGCGTTTGGTCACTTTGTCAGTGAAAGAATCATATTATCTATGTTTTAAAAATAACTCATCTTGTGGAGTCTTTGTGTCCCTTTTTACATAGTTTCCATAATGAAATGTTTCTAATTATCTTTTACTACAACCATGGCTGGTATCATCAGAAATACTGTTTCTTGACAAACATTGTTTCAGATTTATGACAAAATTTAATTTAACACTGACACAATAAGTAAAGAATAATTTCTGTTCCAGATTATGGATCACGTGTTAACTGTGGCAAATGTGTAATCCTTTGTTAGAAATGTCCAACTGAGAGTGTCTGAGTCACAAAAGCTTCTGCAGAGGCCAAATAGGGAGGATGTATACAAACACATTTGGGCCACTAAGGAAAAAGTAACTCTATTTAGTTCCTATCATATTATTTGTGAACCCTTTATCACCCATCTTTTATTTATATATTGTAGTTGTATGATTAATCTAATATTTTTCTATTATTATCTATAATAAGATATTACTGGATATGCAGTTAACAGTTTTCCAGTGTTACTATTTCCATGTGTTGACCAGTTTTAATTATTAGTCATGTTGTCATTATGTGGCTAGTTGTATAAAATTATATTTCGTCTCTTCTATTCTGGTCATTTCTTTCCCCATTTGCTACATATATTTCAATCCAATCCAATCCACTTTATTTATATAACATAACACAAGGTTTCCAAAGTGCTGCACAAAAAGATTCAATGTTCAATTCACTGTTATTTGTATAGCGCCAATTCATAACAGCTTTTCAAATAGAGCAGGTCTAGACCGAACTCCTTATAACATTATTTACAGAGACCCAACAGTACCACCATGAGCAAGCACTTGGCAACAAGGGCAAGGAAAAAACTGCCTGTTAAAAGGCAGAAACCTAGGACAGATCCTTCGGCTCTAGGTGGGTGGTCGTCTGCCTTCAGTTCACCACAGTGCCTAAAACACAATGTGAAGATACAATAATAATTCAATTAATTTATCTATAAATTCACCCAATTCAGAAACATTTTGAAATATGTTGTATTGTGAAAAAGAAACAATGTGCATTCTCAGCTCCATCTAATGGTGGCAGCAGTGTGATGACAGAAACATTATCTACAGTGTGCACATCCACCAGATGGGGCTCTGATTCACATGATGAAAGCTTGATGATTTTCTCGTTTGGCTGCGATTTTCCTCTTGTTTGCTTTTATCTCTTACATCTATTTTTATATAACCTTTTCGAAATTAATTAACACAATTCTCTGCTATGCAACAGAAAGTTTGTTTCCTGTGCTTGCCCAGAGTGAGTGACATGCTGTTAATAAGTTATCTAATTCCTGCTATTTTAGGTGTATGAGGAACTTCAAGCACTCTTGTTGTGTAATAATCATTATGGAGGTGCAAGGTGACTTCTTCTTGGTGTTTTCTTCACAAATGAATCCAGAGATGTGATTTAAACTGAGACGTATATAGAGAGTATAAACAATAAATGCCACTTTTAATGTATTTTTTTGTTTGTTGAGGCTGTTAGAAAGGTGCTGGTTCACCTCTCACATGTTCAATGTTGGAGGCTGTAGTTTGTGTTGTGGTCTGACAAAATAACACCTTGCAAATCACTACTGGCTCGCACTGCGGCCATACAGCTATGAAATACGTGATGATTCATTGTTAGTTCAACCTGCCACAGAGTAGGAATGGTTAGACCACTGACAACAAGTTAATACTTTAATACTTTAACCTTCACCTCAGGATGAATAATATGTGTTTGCCAGTAAAACCTTTACAAAATTACACTTTTATCGAAGTCATTTTCTAGTTTTGTACCATTACTTTCACTTATTATTCAAATCAGTTGAGGTGTATTTACACCCACTCAAACACAGAGTAACCCATTTATTGTACAAGCCTACAGTTGCTTTCATTTTAAACGTCACTACTGAGGTCATCACACTTTCTACATCCTGAACTTTCAGTCCCCATCATTTGAGTCACAGTGACGTGTACAGGGTGAGGAGGGTTGAAGACGCTATAATAGACCATTGGCTACTTGTCAATGTTAAGGACAAAACTCCTCCCTACAGAATATAACAGTCCACAACACATTAACTATCAATCACATCCTATCCATTGAACTTCCTAGTGCAGAGCCTGGTTACATCTTCCATAAGCCTTATTAGCCAGGGAACCATTCATCAGTTTTAGGTCCCAGCAGCTTAATTGGCATCACACAGCAGTGTGGAGGAGTCTTTTCTGCATTAAGGGGCAGCATGTTTCAGGAGATTTTGGGCTTTATTTTAAGCACTTCGGGGTGGGTGCTGGTGTCCTCCACCTTGCCAACGGACTACTGGAAGGTGTCTTCACTTGATGGAACAGTCATCACTACAGCTACCTACTGGTCCAATCTATGGAAAGCCTGTGTCACTGATTCAACTGGAGTTTCCAACTGCAAAGACTTTCCTTCGATGCTGGCACTGGATGGTCAGCTCTCTTTTCCCTTTTTATTGGATGACTAGGTTAAATGCCTTTAACTGTGCCTGTTTCTAGGCCCTTTTTAATGGTTTTGGTCATTAATGTCGAATTTATTTTCTGTTTTCTTTTTATCTTTCAGTTAAAGAGCACACGTTAATGCCTGAAAGGGTTGTTGTAATTGTTCTTTTAATTTCCTGTTCTGTTAAGACTAGTGCTGATTTATCTTTAGTTTCCAAGTGCTTTAATTGTTCGACTTCAACTTCTTTCTCTCTTTACACTTTGCTGGAAAATTCAAGTTGAAGCTCATTGCTACTCAGGACTGATAAATGTCCTAAGGCCTAATGCAAGTCTTTAAGGAACAACTCACTTTCCCCCAAATATGTCAATGTTTAGCCTTAGTTCTCAGAGCTTGAAAGCTATAAAGGAGATTTACTGGTAACCTCAGGCGGTTTCTCCCACGGCTGACTAGTTTCAGGGGTTAACTTCAAAGGTAATATTTGCCTCAGAATCACACCTGAATGGCAAGTTTCATGCCAAGATGGTCACCACACTAACACAAAGTGCCTGAAAACAATTAGGGTTACTTTTGACAAATTGTATTTCTTGCTCTATGTGTAAATTGGTCACAAGGTCAGAAAGTTCAAATTGACCTTGTTGTGTGCAGATGTGAGAGTACAGGGAATTCAAAACCACAAAAAGAAGCCACAGAACATAACACTATTTTGATTGCACATAGGTTGACCCCTATTAAATGTTTGCAGGCTACATCCAGGCATGCAGAGGACTGATGATCGCAGCCATCTGTCTGGGGTTTTTTGGCTCTATATTCGCTCTTGTTGGAATGAAATGCACCAAAATTGGAGGAACTGACAAAAACAAAGCTCGGATTGCCTGCTTTGCTGGTGTAAATTTCATTCTTAGTGGTAAGTATAGTTACATTCTGTGTGTAATATCTGTGTAATGATCTGTGTGATCTAATTAGATTCCTTTATCTTCTTCTTCTCAGGTCTGTGCTCACTCTCAGCGTGCTCCCTGTACGCACACCGGATAACATCAGAGTTCTTTGATCCAATGTTTGTGGCACAGAAGTAAGAATGATGTGATTGTAGAGCCCAGAGAATTTTACCATTAAGCGATAAAGTTACCATTAAGTATTGATCTTTGTCTGTAGGTATGAACTGGGTGCCGCTCTCTTTATCGGCTGGGCAGGTTCAATCCTCTGTATCCTCGGTGGCAGCACGCTCTGCTTCTCCATCTCAGGTTCTTTTACCAAAAGGTTTGTATGAGTAACACATACTATGTTTACATTGTACAGAAGATAATTGTCATAAATAAATAACCTGCTGTATGAATCAGTTTTGTCAAGTGACATAGTAGGTGTTTGATTTGTGAAGGTGAATCTGTGTTCTGTCTCTTTACAGCCACAGTCAGGCAAACTATATTTACAGAGGTGCCGCCTCACATTCTCATATCTCCTTCAACCCAAGAGGGCAGGCAAAGTCTGTAAACCATGGGCCGCCTCCAGACTACAGCAACTCATCCAGGATTCAGCACTTTGATAAGAATGCATATGTGTGAGGGATGTGAATATGAAACACTTTTAGTCAAAGCCACTGAAAGATATACTGTATACTAAGTCTAAACGATACAGAACACTGTGTGAACATTTGCAGATATTGAGTTGTGGCTCACAAGGAATTAGGTTCAAAATATTAACATGTTTCTTCCAAGGGTACGAATTTAAAGTTATAGCATACAGTTTACTCTCTGATCTTGGGAAATGTGTATTTTATATATTTTACTGTGCATTGAATGTTAGCATTATGTATGTATTATAATTAAACAGCCAAATAAAAAAAAACATTGGTTCAAAATGGGCCTTTCTGATCTAATTTTCTGTATATATTTTTTTTAGATGTGTAATATTTTGTAAGACATTTCCTTTGTTGGTTGTATCTTTAACTGTAAGTAACCTGCACATGTTGTTAATCTGTAATGACAATATTTAAAACTGTGTTAAACACAGATTCTCCTATTTCCATGACATAACCATTAACTTTGATTTTGTAATAAGCAAACTGGAAGGCGGTCTAAAGAAGGGCTGCATCTCTTTTTGTCTCTGTAAGAAGTGAAATGTGAGGCTCCATTTTTAAGCAGTATGACTAAAAATAAAACAGATACAAATAAATAGAATTGAGTTTCAGCTGACTATTTTGTGTTTTGCTTGTTTTGTCAACAGATTATGCCATATCTGCTCCTCAGTGATCTTAACAGGTCTAAAGAAGGCAGCAGTATTGCAGTTTGCATTATGTTCCCTCAAGAAGATCAATGAGAGTCAGCCGTTTAACCTAATAACCTATAGTGACACAAATAATCAAACATTTTAAGGTGCTTGTGGGCTTTTTTTCCTCACTGTAAATACTTATTAAATGCATTGTTGCTGCATACTAGTGGATGCAAGTGGATGTAAACCTGAAAAGGTAGCTATAGCAGTGCGTGCTGTGTATTATCTCAAGGGGGTGGCACACTCCAGAAAGTTTACAGTAAACATCTTACACAATTGCACAGAGCCCTCATCAACACTAATGGCACACGGCACAGACACATTGCCACTGACTGGACGTTTAGTGTGTTTTGTGCCTTTACCCAACTGAGCGGAGGACACCTAGTTTTATTTAGTGATTTCAAAAATGAGGAAACGTCTGATCCAGATATTTGGCTTCTTGATCACATCGCTAGGATGGTTGTTTGTGCTGTGTACCATGGCCATGGACTATTGGAGGATCACCCAATTAGGAGGACAAGGAGGCTCCTTTATCATCAAAGTGGCCTGGTACTGGTCCAACCTGTGGAAGGATTGCTTCACCGATTCCACCGCTGTCACCAACTGTAGAGACTTCCCTGTGCTCTGGAGTGTCACCCGTAAGTGCCTCACTTGTTGCCTATATGCCTTCAGCAATGTTATATGTTAGTTAGTCTTTCACTCTGAATGAATATAAAAAAATATGCAGGCCTATGGATAAATGTTTAGTGTGACATTGAAATTACACTAGTGCTCAAAAGGAGACCATGTGACTTTTGTAAGATAAAAATAATATATCCTTTGTTTTACAAATGAAAAGTTCTCACTTTAGTTCTTACTTGGACTGATAGTCCAGTAGTTTTTGGCTGCTAACTTTAGCTAACTTTAAGCAGATATTGCTATGTAAATAATAATACTACTAATAATATTAATAATAACTGAGTCAGTTAGCTGACTTTTTGATTCTTTTTTTGTGTTACTGTCATCCTACCTTTTAGCATATAACATTATCCCATTCCATTTCCTCGCTTTTGAGAAAAAGTCACATGGACTGAGGGTGAAAACAATAAAAGGAACATTCTATAATGTTAAATCGTACTCCATAACCTCAATCTAATGGCTTATGGTTACTGTTCATGTGAAAGTTTTCCACTCTTTGTTACAGACAGATGTTCAACTAAGATGATCATTTTTGAAGCTGTATTTTATATTTTTGTGTTGGATAGAATTAGATTGTTAAGTACCACTAACATTTTGTCACTCATACCATTCAGCTGAATCAAACCCTTGCTGAAAAGGTCTCAGCAAAACTGAGAAAACTATTAGAAGAACTGCAAAGATAGTGTCTACTCTTTGCATGAGAGCTTTGGATATCCTCCAAAGAGATTTGATGTTGTACTTACATTAGCTTCTTTTCTGTCTGAGAAAAATATTAATGTTAAATACTTTCTTTTTTCTTCTTGCCTGGACTCTTTCTCTCTGTCTCTCACAGCTTTCATCCAGGGAGTACGAGGATTACTAATGTGCGGTTTAACTCTCGGATTCTTTGGTGTAGTGCTTTGCTTTGTTGGGATGGATTGCACTTATATCGGTGGAGCAGATAAAACCAAGGACAAAGTGCTTCTTGCCGGAGCAGTGTTTCATATTGCTGGAGGTGAGTGCAGAACATGAATGTGTTTGTCTCTGGAAATGACAGAAATGTTTTGCCCACATTATTTCTCGGTATCAACGAAACCTCTGCACACAGGTGTGTCAGATATTTCTGGCTACTGCTTATACATCAACAGGATTGCCAGAACAACCTTTGCTGCCAGTGTGGGGCCAGGAGTCTTACGGTACATTTACATAACACTATAACATTTTTATGATCCATATATTTGATAGAATAATTACACAAAATCTGATGTATTTACAATGTATCATGACTTCTTACTTTTTCACTAATTCCAGGTATGACCTCGGACCTCCCTTATTTCTTGGATTGGTAGGATGTTTTTTAATCTTTTTAGGTGCTGTGCTTTATGCTGTGACAGTCTACCGAGTAATGTGTCCTGAAAGGTATTCAGATTCATCCATTTTCATCCTTTTCCTTTTACTGATAAGTTCATACCACATTATTCATTTTGGCCACATTTTGTTCTTACAGTAAAGTGGTGTACGCCTATGGAGGAGGCACATACATGACCCCTCGCTCCAGAGAAAGAACCCTGTACACAGGCTACTACAAACCCGCCAGGCTGTATGGATCTTATGTGGGCTCAGGACGATCTGACAGCTCCAAGATCTCAAAGCTCTCTCAGACAACACCAACAAGAAAGTCTGATAGAGATGCATTTGTGTAGCAGCTCAGAGCTCAAACACTACGAGACATAGGTCCAAATCTGTGTAACTAACAATCAGCATGTATCTCATACTGTAGATAGGATGAAAGTCAGTTCCTCAGTTTCCTCTTCTGTGCATCATATGTACAATTGTAAATTTTGGTTGTTATACTCTGTATAGAATACACTGTCTTGTGTTTACTCATAATTTGTTAATTTGGTTGTGATTTAACCAAAACATGTATTACAATTAATAATGTCACTGGAACATCTATGAAGAATAAAAAAAACTTTGTACCAATTATGAGTATTATGTCTCTCCATTTATTGTCCTCAATGAACATATTGTATTCCTTGATGATATTACTCATGGCAGTCCTTGTCATTTTGCAACAGTACCTACCAATGTAAGTGTGCTTGCAATTATCTTTTTAATGCCGTTATCTCAAGATCACAAGTTCAATGGTGTTGTTATCTCGAGAGAACAAAAGGAACATTTTTTGAGATAACAGGATGATTCATCACAAGAAAACAACTTTTTTTCCCCTGAAGATCATGGGATAATTATGGACGATGAGACAATGAGACAATGTCTGGTTCATTTGATTACATCTGATTTCAGCCTTATAGCTCACTGTCATGACTGCCAGTGGATTCTAAGCTGAACTGAAAAGAGGTGTTACCAGAATTTAAATCTGAGAGTTAATTACATTAATTTATTATTCATTTCCTGGAAATGTTGTGCAATAATGACAGCATTTATCAGAAGAAGATTGACATTTATTAAATTAGCTCAAAGATCCCTGCAATGTCCAAATTCTTTTGATGCACTTTTTTCATGGCTGCTGGCTTATTTTGGTCTGTATGAAAATGAACATTAACTGGCTTGTTGCATGTCAATCCTCTGTGTATTCGTCCATTATGTTAAACCAATGCAACATCTATAATGTGCTGGATGATTATCTCGTTATCTTGAAATAACAAAGGTTGTTCTCTCGAGATAACACAGTAATTAACTTGTGATCTTGAGATAATGGCATTAACAAAATGCAAATCTTTTACCACTCAAGGATGTGACAAGGTTTTTCCGAGTTTCATGTGTGGGCCATTTGTTCACATGTTTAGACTTTAACACACCGTCTGAAGTAAGAGCTAAATGGTACACAAAACTGAACCCATGCTGGCAGGCTCATGTGTACCAACAACAAACACATTACCAAAGTGACCTTCACAAAACAGCGGAATCACAGTTCAAGGCAAAACATGTGATGATGTACACAAACGACGTTTGGCCTCTTCCGTATGTGTCCAAATGTGTGTTTTTGTGTGCATGCAGCACCCGAGGAGGGACCTTCGGGCAGACGGTGTTGGACAGGAGCTGTTGTGCCATTGCTCAGATTTGCCTTTTTTCTTTCTAGAGGCTCACCTTCAAGGCAAGCATGAGTTACAGGACTGTGGTGATGTATATGGAGATTGGTTGCTTTGTGGTCTGTGTGACTGGATGGATCCTGGTCTGTTCCACCATGCCCACAGAGATCTGGACTTGGTCTGAGGTGGACAGCATTGTCTTGACTACTTCAAACTACTTCTCCAACCTGTGGAAGGATTGCATATCTGATTCAACTGGAGTATCTGACTGCAAGGGAATTCCATCAATGCTTGCTCTGAACTGTAAGTAGACTGTATTTCAGCATAAGGCGAGATATATAAAGAAACTAAGTTTTGTAATGTGTGCTCAACATTGTTTTTTTGTTCTTGGACAGGGGACATTCACATGTGCCGTGCTCTCATCATCATCTCCATTATCCTGTCCTTCTTTGGATCAGTTCTGGTCTTAGTAGGAATGAAGTGCACTAAGATTGGAGGATCAGAGATTGTTAATGCAAGAGTAACCTTTGCTGGGGGGATGAACTACCTTATCGGAGGTAAGAACTGAGAGTTATTTTAAAGAAATCACATTTCAATATTATCAATTTTAAAATGAATATGTGCCTGTTATTTCAGGGATGTGTTCTATGATTGCTTTCTCCTATTATGGAAACAAAATTAGAGCAGAATTTCAAGACCCAAACTTCAGGGCTCAGAAGTAAGTAAAATTTTTAAGTGACATGGATAAAATATAAAACTTTTTCATGTATTAACATTTATCAGATAATTCTATGAAGCTTGAACAGTACATTTGTGTATCATTCTTCAGGTTTGAAATAGGCGTTGGTGTCTTTATCGGATGGGGAGGCTCCACCTTACTTGTTGTTGGAGGCCTTATTTACAGTATCTTTGCAGGGAATGAAGGCTGCCACTCGAGGTAAAATGCCACCGCTCTTTCATTAATTTTGTCCAGCATTTCTATTCTATGCGCCTCTCCACCAACAGAAAGAATTAACCATTCATTTCTTGAATCTAAACCACACAGCTCAAAAAGATTTCCCACCTACCAGTTCCCTGGCGCCTACACAGTTGTTCCATCGAGAAAGAGCTTTGCGTCTGCGTCTTTGGCTCGTACAGAGTTTAGCAAGAGCAGAATATCAACGACTACCAGTGGCAG